AAGGGCATCGCGCACATGAGTCGGTGCGCGGCCAACGTACGCGCCACATCGCCGCCGGCCTCTGTGCCGTAGGTGGCGTACCGCTGCTGCTGCAGCCGCACCACATGCGCGTCTGCGCTGCGGCCCTGCACCAGCAGCGCAAGCCCCGCCCACGCCAGGCACAGCGCGGTGCTGCCGTCCACGTCGCTGTCGCCGTCGCACTGTGGCGCCACCACGTCAAGTGTGTCAACGGCACGTTGGAAGAACTTCGCCGCGTAGTCGGCGTTGCCCTGCATCATGAGCCGCTTTCCCATCTCCAGCAGGCGCGAGACATCCACCGTCATGCGCAGCCCGTCGTCCGTGGTGTGTGGCGATGCGGTCGACACCGTCGCAATCTTGCCACTGCGCTGGAATGTCGCTAAGCGCTCGCACACACGCGCGACGTCCTGCGTCAGAGCAGGCAGTGGCTTACTGAATGTGTCGGCGATGGTCTGTTGGTACACCACCAGCAGCAGAGGCNGCGACGTCCTGCGTCAGAGCAGGCAGTGGCTTACTGAATGTGTCGGCGATGGTCTGTTGGTACACCACCAGCAGCAGAGGCGCGCCAGTCTCCTTCCCCAGCTGCTGCCTTGCCGCTGCAAAGGCGCCACTGCTGCAGTCCCAAATGTGGAGCCGCACGTTAACGGCGTGCGTCGCAACCGCCGCTCCCACGGCATCCTCAAACGCCGTCAAGCCCGCCGCCGTCACGTCATCGCGGATGGCCTCGTGGCACAGCAGCAGACGGTCACCGCTGTTCGGTGCAAACAACGCCTGGAAGTCCTCCACGCTGCTGACGAAATTCGACGAAAAAGCAGAGGCCGCCATCATCGACTCTCAGCAAAGTAAACATTTACGCACGCGCCCACACACAGACAGACACACAGAGAGAGAGAGAGAGAGAGAGAGAGAAAAGAGTGTTGGGGCAGCAAGGTGGAAAGAAAGCGGCCGCTGCACAAGAAAGAAAAAATAAAAACAAGAAAAAGTGAAAGAGAAACGAAGACAAGAGAGGAGAGAGCAGGCATTCACAAACAAACGCCCACCAACGCAGCTGTTGTACATCACCTCTCCATGCATGTTGCGTGTCTTCACGCCGGTATGTCCTCCGCCGAGAGCAGTCGGACGTTGACCTGCTGGAAGGGTCCCTGTGGGGAGACGCGGATGCACTTGCCAGACTCGTACACCGTGTACATCTTCTCGCCGTTCGCGGTGTAGGTGATCTCACCGTGCGGCTTATCGTCGCGCCATGTTCCGTAAAACGACCCCGAGCCGCGTGTCTTCATCTCACCGACACCGTGCTTTTTGTCGTCGAGCCACTCGCCGGTGTATTCCACACCCACGGAGCGGTACACGCCGTGGCCGCAGCGTTTGCCGTTGCGGAACTCGCCGAAATAGCTCTGCCTTTGTACGGGGTCGACAAATTTTCCCTCGCCGTGGTACATCCCGTTGAGCCACTCTCCATCGTAGGTGGAGCCGTTGGCGTACTTGCACTGTCCACAGCCGTATACGGCGCCGTGACGCCACCCACCCTCGTACTGCAGGAACGGGCTTGTGTACGTGCCCATACCGTGTCTGAGCCCGTGCCGCCAATCTCCAGTGTATGTGTCGCCATTGAAGTATGTCATGGTGCCGCGCCCGTGCTCAGAGCCGTTGGCCCACTGCCCTTCGTACTTGCCCCCACTCGGGAGAATGTACGTTCCGGTGCCCTCGTACATACCGTTCAGCCAGTCTCCCTTGTATACGTGCCCGTCGTTGTACACGTACTCACCGTAGCCCTGGAGACGGCCGTCGAGGAAATCCCCAACGTAGATGCCTTCTGGCTCCACCAGCTCTCCGCGTCCGTGCCACTTGCCGTCCTGCCACTTCCCGCTGTAGATGGTGCCGAAGTCAGGGCTGTGGCACGTTCCGGTGCCGTTGCGCAGTCCAAGGAACCACTCGCCCTCGTAGAGATCGTTTGCCATCACGCGCTTCAGGTAGCCTGAGCCGTGCATACGGCAACTCTTCCAGTTTCCCTCGTACATATCCTCGTTGTCGAACACGAGGGTTTGATACCCCTCTGGCCGCAGTGTTGTTTGCCGCTCATGTATGACAACAGCGAGATGATCCAGAAGCTGAAGAGTCACCTCGGAGGCCTGCTGATCGACAAGCTCCATCTCTTGTCGCCGCTCAATCTGCGTGCGCAGCAGTTGGCGTCGCGCCTTCCTTTGCCGCACCGCCTCCTGGTTCTCGGAGTCACGAAGCGCAAAGGCTACTACCGCCACACGCTGCGACTCTACCGATTGGTAGAGAATATCCGCACTGTTTGGCGGGAATGCAAGCGGACTGAAGGTGGAGAGGGCCGCAGTGGACTCCACTGACGACGTCATCGGGGTGGTTTGCGTGCCAATAGACATGGTCGTGGCCTCGAAGTGCAGCGGTCACACGTGCAAACCTCTGTAACGCTCGCTATAAATATGGGAATCAAACGGTTTGGCAAGCAGGAGGGAGTCAAAGAGAGAAAGAGAGGGAGGAGGGGGAAGTGATAAAGCACAGAACTGGGTTCGCCTCTTATCCTTTTTTTTTTGCTGTGTTTTTGGGGTCGCCGTGGAGCCCTGACGGTGGCCAAGCACACCGCCACCGAAGGCAGTGAAGAGCGAGAGGCAAGGGGCACAATATGAGATACACAAAACAAACAAAACAAGAAAAAAAAAAGGAAATAATGGGTCTCTCTATTTCTGCGTTCGCAGATGTGCTGCCGCTCTACGCAAACTGAAACACATGTGTCCGTCTACTTCCCCCGCATCTGCATCATAACGTTCTTGAACTCCTCGAAGGACACCTCACCGTCGCCATCCTCGTCGGCCTCCGCGATCATTTCCTGCAGCACATCATCGCCGGGGTTCTCGCCGAGTAGCTTCGCCACCTCCTTCAGGTTCGCAAACGATATCTTCCCCTTCTTGTCGAGGTCGAACAGCTGGAACGCCTTCAGCACCTCCTCTGGAGAGTCCTTCTGTGCCATGCGTGACTTCACTACGCGCTCGAACTCAGCGTAACCGATAAGCCCGCTGGCATCCGTGTTCATTGTGCGCATCATCCGCTCCACCTCGTCGCGCGGCAGGTCGCCGAAGCCCAGGCCCTTCATCGCCAGTGCCATCTCCTCTGCATCAATCGCACCAGAGCCGTCCGCATCGAAGAGGTTGAATGCCTCACGAATCTGCTCGTCAGTCAGGGCCGCCATTTCACTGCAGTGTGTAAATATGTGGAGTGGTACCTCTCACAAAGAAAGAAAGCAAAGGGTGTGTGAAACGCTTAGCTATTTCAAGACTACTCCAAGTTTTCAAAAAACAGCAATAACCACAACATACAAATATCATTAGCAAAGATATGATGACCAGAGAGGGGGCGGTTGAGTGCGCATCCAAGCCCCGACAAGAGGCCCAAAAATAAGCATCCATCTTCAGCAATCGCACTACGTTTCTCTCGAAGCGAAAGAAGCTTCAACCCTAAAGAGCACAGCGGCACCGCCGTATATCTAATACACTTTGAGGTGCGACATCTACATTGGCATGCACATGATTCACTTCTTTTGGATTCCCCCACCGTCTAACTCCTTTTTTTTTCTTCTTTTAGAAGCGCTCCTCGACATTCTGCACGGCCAGGTACAATATAGTACCTACGATCGATCCCACTGCTTCCGAAGCCCAGTAGACCCAAAGTGACGCCATTGGTGTGCATCCCGACTCCGAGAAGGAGATGAAACAACGAACAACTATTAAAGAGGTGGCGACGGCAGGATTGAATGCTCCACCCGAAATGGAGCCGCACGTCAAGCCACCTACCAGCACTGCGGAACCGATTGCGAAGCCGTAAAAGTTGTTATTGCGCTGTTTGCTGACAGCAACGTGCAGAACGACCGATGTCAGGACAAAGGTAAAGACGCTCTCCGCCAAAATACCTCGCAGCATCTGCACAAAGTCCAGACCCATGTTGGGAACTGGGAAGTCTCTTCCGTGAATAAGCACACAGTAGAAAGCTGCTGCCACACCGCCGAGCATCTGCGCAATAAAATAGAACAGCATACGTGCCTTTCCAAAGTTGGCGGTGCTGAGAAACACGGCAAAAGAAACCATCGGGTTCATATGCCCCCCACTCATGTAGCCAAAGGAGAAAACCAGCGACATGAGCATGAAGCCTACAGAGAAGGGGGCCATCTCCGGGTTGTTCAAGCTACTCAGTGGGACCGTGAGGACTAACAAAAAGGTGCCAATGAACTCTACAATCACCGCAGACATAAACTCGTTGAAGTAGAAGCGTTGAAGGAAGGAGAATTTACCCATATCTCTGGATGGGTTGGCACTTCCGCCTGTACGTGTCCCTGTTGCATCTGGCAGTGCCGCAGCTGCTGCTTCGTCCTTCGGCATCATTTCACGTCTTCTCTCTTTTTGATTGTTCTCCTCCCAACGGTCGTCGCCCGTCATCAAAAGTGGGCAAAGCGATACACAGACAATTTAGATAGAGAGAAAGGGAAAGGGAAAGGGACCGAGAGATTGAACATAAGACGCAAACACATAATTCACCGCCTACTCATTTTTCTTGCCATTCTCTAGCACAGCTTTCCTCATTCACATTATTCTTGTTTGTGCTTTCGTGATTCATACACATGCCGTCTCCGGCACGTAAATGGATTGCCTAACAGAAGTGTGTGAGGGGTGCGGCATATCCCTTCTGTTGCAAGCATACATCACAACATGGCGCCGCACCCACCGCCCTCACGCCACGTCTAAGAGTGTCACCTCAAACACAATGGTGGTATCAGGGGGAATCATGCCAGGAAAACCGGTGGAACCAAACGCCAGCGCCGGCGGCATTGTCAGTCGGCTTCTCTCACCCTTAGACATCTGCACGATACCCTCGTCCCACCCCTTTATGACCTCACCGCAGCCCACACGGAACACAAATGGCTTTCCGCGCTCAATGGTGGAGTCGAACTTCCTACCGTCTGGCAGAAACCCAACGTAATCGAGGGTCACAATACTGCCTTGATGCGGGATGGTCTTGCCATCCCCTTCGATGATCTTGTCCATCAACACGCAGTCGTTCGCGGGCATTGCCTTTCTTTCTTTTTTTCCGTTTTCGGTTCCTTGGTGCTTATTCTTTTTGTGCTGCTTAATGTGGGGAAGCTGGGGTTCACAACCGGGGCAAATTCACCTGTCGCCCAACGTATATTCTTTGGGCGGGAAAAGCCAAAGGGCAAGGACCTTGGGTTTGCTCCTCCTCTACAACCCGAGTTGGCAGGCAGGCCACAGGAAGAAAGAAAGAAAGAATAAAAGAAAGAGCGAGCGAGATCGAGAAAAAAAAACAGAAATCAATAGAAGGTGTGTGCAATAGGAGTCTTACGCCGCACAGCACTCATACGGTGGCGCCGTCAATGTATCATTGTGCACCACCCAACGTTTCTCTTCTGTTGTGTGTCATTTGTGCTTAAGCATCGAAAAAAAGGCAACACCAACGACAGAGAGCGTTGCACTCTGTACTTGTGAGAAGCAAAAAAGCGGTGGAGTCTCAACTAGATATGTATATACGTATATATACCTGTATATATATATATATATATATATATATGTATGTATCTTGGGGGGTATGTAAAAAAAAAAAAAAAA